TTTCCCTTGGGTGTCTCTTTTGGTGGGTGTGCTTTTTCCATTATCAACCTGATCAAAGAAATCTTTCATGGCCTCCTCATACAACTCATAAGGCAACTGCCCGTTCATGGTGGAATCAATGGCTCTCTTGCGATTGCTCGAGCTGGTGACGGGGTATTCAGTCAGGAGCTTGGCTGCAAGGAAGGTCGACTCTTCATCCTCATCAACTGCATCATCATCGTAATCATCTTTTCTTTTGCTTGGAGCTTTGTTTAACTCGGACAGGAACAAGCTTCCCCGTCTTCCGCTGGGGTTGAAGTACTTTGCCATGGCTGTTTTGTAGGGCCTTTGCTTTAGCAAAGAAAATTGTGCGTTTTTGTTGGCCAGATTCCTTAACCCAAGGACTTTCAGGATATCCTCAGTCTTGACATCAGGAGGGACATCACTCACTGTGACTTCTGGCTGTCGACCGTTGTAATACTTGATGACCCGGCCCTTGTACCGAGGTTGGCTGGGCTTCCTAGCCAGCTGGCTCTCAGGAAGGCGTTGTTGTTTTCTGGTTTCCTCCATGAAGAGCATTCCAACCAGGTCCTCTGGAGGTACCTGGAGCTTCATTGAAATAGCTGACAGCAGTTGTTTGATTGCCCTAGGGTCAATTAGAGAGGGTTGGGATAGTAGCCGCCTCCTTCCTTCCATCAGGTCCCGTTTTTGTGCTTGGTTTGTCATCTCCAAGACCTTCAACAGGTAGTAATCCACGAGTTTTGTGTCATCATCTGGGTTCTCATCATCGTCTTCTGTAGGGATAGCTCGTCTTTCAATGACCTCGCCCTGCTCTCTGTTATCTCCTAACCCTCGTTTGTATTCTTCACGGCTTCCTTTAACTACTTCTTCCGTCTCAAGCTGCTCCTCTAACGGCACCCATTCCTCCCCTCCGGTCACGTCCTCATATGCAAGGTTCCTAACCTTGTAGAGGTCATCATCGTCTTCGGCGTCTTCATCATCCTGGTTCTCTCGCTTCTGGTTCTGTGCGGCAGACAGTTTACCAAGCTCTTCGAATATAGAGCGCATGTTGGCGAGGCTCTGAGGGGTGTACTGCTCATCCAAATCCTCAGTCGCCCGCTTGTTGTCCCTGCTGTTCTCCTCATCCTCAAACATCAGCGGGAACTTCTTGTGCGGCTTCACAAAGCCCCCGTAGTCTCCAACAGGGCTCTCTGCATCTGCCACTGGGCGTCTGCTCTTGTGAGGACGCTGCTCGCTTCCGGGCGCTGGCTGGCTTTCCGGAGTTTCTCCAGCTTGTTCAAGCACCCGCAGCAGAGATCGAACCCACTGTGGCACCTTGTTATCAGGCCAACGGGTGGCATCCTCACGCGTGGGTGCATTCTCATCCTGTAGGGAGGCGAGCTGTACTAGAAAACGGAATTTGTCCACTTCGTCGTAGTCCCCTGTTGGACTCTCTGATCCATCGGCTCTCTGCTTCAAGCTTTCAATGTACTCCAGAGCTTTGATCATATCGGAGCTGGGGGCAAGGAAGCCCCCCTGGTCTCCGCCTCGCAGGCGATGGTGGCGCACAGAAGCGCCCTGCACGGTTAGTGTTTGGAGGAGGGTAACGAGCAGGACCGCCACCCCTCCGGTGGACAATTTCGGTAGTGACAACATCATACCGCCTAGAGATAAACAAGCACAAAAATAGTTAACCTATGCAGTCTTTTTATTTATTTTGCATCCTTGGTGTTTAAAAACAAAATGCATGTAATGTACCTAAAATTCTGTTTGAGTTTAAACTACCAATGAAATCAGTTCTTGGAGTTGCTTTACTACCCAAAATTGTTTCCCAGACCGAGTAGAAGATACGCTCCGAGCGCCCAAGCAGCAATGAGATCAGTCAGAACACAACATGTTTTTAAACAACAACAGCACCGGATGAGTCACCGCCTGTTGTCAAGGTAACCTTTCACTTGTGGCTACGGATCTCTAAGAACAGATCTATTGATATTTCACGTATGTTTGTATAGAACAAATCTCGATTTAAAAAAAATCAGTCTAGCTGGAATACATTTCACTGATTTTTCGCGACGATTCGAGCAGATAAACCAGATATGAGATATGCTGCTGATGAGTGATGGTATCTAAGCAAGCAAAGCCGGAAAGAAAAGGAACAAAAGCTCTTTCCCCCTCACAAAGCAGACTAGCGCATATGTTAACTATTTTCACAGAGCATCATTTTGTGAATGCAAAAAAAATGAAAATGAGCCCTCGTACCTTTTGTGTAGAGCTCAGAGAATGTGAAAGAGCGTGAACAGCATGTCCGTGTTGCCTCAATGCGCTTAGGTTGTGTTTCAGCACCGGACAGCTCCCCGCGCTATATGAGGCGGCACCTAACCAATGCGTCACGATGCTCACGCAATAACGAGGTTGTGCATGCATTCGTAGCCATTCACAACGTTTATCTCTGAGAAACTGAACCTCTTGCAATGCATTATCCTCATGGTCTGTTTTAGGTGTGTTTTATTAATAAAGAACGTTTCACTGGGGCGGTAGCTACCCTAAGGCACAAAATCTAAAAGGTACTTCTTTGTACCTTATTCACCCCTATATGTTACAGATTAGTACATATTAGTACCTTAAAGGTACATATTAATACCTTTTAAAAGGGTATCTGCCCAGTGACAGTTATTTTTTTTCTGAGAGTATGGTAAATTAAATCGCAAAACATTTCTGTTACAGATATACATCAGTTACTTGATTTAAATAATATTATTTGTATTGAGTAAGAATGAGTATATCATAGGTGTGCAATGTAAAAATGGTTTGTTCGTTGTCTTTCTGTACACACAGGCGAGTTAAATCGTCAGGCGATGAGTCACACACTCGCACAAACGCACTGTGAGGAGAGCAAAGCCTCTGATAAATATGCATCTGCTGGTTGTGGATCTCTTCCACTGTCCCTAGACACCTACAGTCCCGAGCATTTATTAGATCCTGCAGTGGGGCCTGTCAGCAGCTGAATTATGTGCCCTAGTGACATTTTGCCAAGATGACACTCATTTGTACTTGATCACATTTCCTGGAACACAGACAAAAAATCTCTGTGGAGAAAGCTTTGTCCTTTGAGTTTTTTTTTTTCTCTTTTTCACAGGCACATCATTTGAAGTATTTTTAACTGTAGTTTCCAAATACAAAAAGGAAAGAAAAAAAAAAGATTTTCTGTTATCAAAACCACCTGACTTGGGCCTATTTAAGTTATTTTTGACATGCTACCCAGACAGCCCTGCATAATTCTGCAGTTTTGAAAATAATAATAATAATCCTTTGCCTAATTTCATGTTACTGGTAAAAAAATGACTGGCCTATTAATAATGTACAAATTTTAAGAAACATTCTATATTATCACCAAATCTTGGATTCAATCTTTTTGTCAGCTTGTTTCTTTCAATTAGCACAGGCTTTGTATTTCTTTTTGGAACTGACTGATCATAAGCCTAATTGATCTGAGTGTATGCACCTTTGCAAAGCAAAGCATTATTTGTCGATCATTTTGCCAATGTTCAGTCAAAAACGGAGGTGCAATAAGCAGATCAATGAGGCCTAGGATCAATCAGTTCCAAAAATAAATACAGTACCTGTGCTAATTGAAAGAAAACAGGTTGATAAAAAGACTGAATCCAATATTTGCTAATAATATACCAAAATTTATAATAAATTTTTTCGTGGGCTGGTCATTTTTGACGGGGTACACGACAAGTATATTAAGGTGGGGGGGAAAAACCCAAAAAATACAAAAACGATCAATTTTGTTATACCCTGTGTGAGCAAACTCAGTCATAGTTTTAGTCCAATGTGAACGTTTAACTACCATTTTTGGGGAAAAGAAAATCTCAAAATGACAACATGAGGGTTAAGTTTCACAAGAACTTTTATTCTTTTAGAAAACCATCCATCTGGGGCTTTAAAGAACCCAGAAACCAATATGCTGGTCTGAAGAAGCTGTAATTTAACATCAATAACTTTTATTAATCTCTGGAGAGCCATATACAGCAAAAAAGACATGTTAGTCCCTACA